TGATTATGAAAAAATTGGCTGGGGCAATGGCAGGCACTCAGTGACTACCAGCTCTTCTGAACAGGGTAAGGGAGGTTGAGTGTACGCTCCCTTCACGGTGACACAGTCCTCCGGCCTGTTACAAACAAAACACTTCCCACTTTCTAGTTTACTGAAGGTCAATGTCATAATGGCTGTGATTATGATGTAAGAAATTCTCAGGGTGAATTACAAATTCCAAACAAAACATTCCCTTTGAGTAGCCTGAGGTGTATAATTATCATGACAACGTCTTTTGGGTTGCACTGGTAAGTGGCAGTGACTTGTTCGATTAATGGATTCAATACTTCTTTTCATGTCAGTGAATAGAGGATACCTTCAATTGGTGAAATTGCCTGAGATACAAGACCTATCCACGTCACTAAGCCCAAGATATACTGAATAACTTCAATCTACCGTATCATCACCCAATGATAATAGTGCTATTTTAAAATTTTTTAGAATAAGTTGAGCCTTAACTTTAAGCCTATAACTTAAATTATATTTAACTTTCAAATATAATTATTATACTAGCAATATAGATTTCTTTGGAAATTATAAAAATATGAAGAAAATAAAAATTACATATAATCCTACAACTGAATGAAAAGCCTTGGTAATTTTTGGATTTGTGTGCATGTGTGTTTTCCTTTCAAACATTTTCTAAAAATCCTACCTGTTTCTATAAGGAGTGAGGGGGTGGGCTATAGCTGAATATGATAGAACATTGGATCTACTTTTTTTTTTCCTAAAATTATTTTTTGATTTTTCTCCAGCTATCCCAAAAGACATTTATAACTATGACCTCAATCGAAGGATTTTTCTAGCTCAAATTCTAACTCTGATTACACCACTATTTTCTGCTGAAGTGCAATGCACAGATTTTGAAAGCCCACCCGGTGACTCAAGTAACTACAGGAAGGAAAAGGAATTTGTCTCTTCAGTGGTTGTCTGGGGATGGAATGCACAACAGCACAGAGGTTGCAAGGTGCTCCTTTTTAGCTGCAAGTATCTCCTTTTGCTGCCACCCCTGTTCTGCAAGCTTCCCTCAGCACCCCACTCACCCCACAGTGTCTGCACCCAGCTGCATGGCCCTGCGGGCTTAATGCGCCTCTCTCCCTTGCCTTTGTTCACAAGTCCAAGGAACATGCCTCCCAACCCCTGAACCCTGCTGCACCCAGATGTCTGCACCAACTCACCGCCACAAGAGTGAACGAAGGTCCCTTCCTTACCTGGGAGCTGCCCTAGCAAAGAGGAAGGGCTCAGCTATCTGCGGGAAGAGACGGCTCCACACTGGAATTTTAGTCTGTGGAAACAGACTGAAGAACCAGACTTTTATATTTTGTTACCGAGATTCTGCCCAGTTTTTAGTGTAGCCTATCACCTCCCTATGAGCAACACCATCAAGAAGCCAAATACACCTGCGACTACCGTCTCACACACTTCAGCTTGCAAGGCAGAGGCACAGAATGATTTGATGAAAAAGAGGAAAACAGAAAAATCACCCCTCTAGCCAAGACCACAAAGTCCGCACAGATCAGCGTGGCCCGGATCAATGTGGTCCAGAGGTGAAAGCGTGGATAGAGGAAGACAAAACGGAAGGAGAAGCCAGTTCGTGCTCCCTTCAGGATCCTAGTTGGAAAATTAATTTTGTGACTCAGCTAAGGGATGCTGCTGTCACCCAGGAACCCTTCAGACTGGGCTCCACTTGCCAGCAAGCCTCAAAGGGACTCAGGAAGGGTGAACATTCGGCCAGAATGTGTTGAGTGTCCACAATGTTCCAGGCTTCACCCCGCACTGCAGCTCCCGAAGTTGCTTTGCAAAGGACTGAGTTTGAGTCACCTCATTATTTTATTTGCATATCAAGTTACCAGACAAAAGAACACATTGTTTCCCAAATCATTAAGAACTAAAGACAATACACCTCTGCAAACACATACACACACACCCTGGTGTCAGGCAGCCGGCCGACATAGAGTGTGTGCGTGGATTGCTAACCACGGCAGAGCCTGCTCTCACTGTTTGGGTGCAAACCTTGGGCGTTTTATTGTTCTGCGACTGGAGTTTGCCTCTGTGTCCCCACATGTAAAATCGCTACCTTGGCCACCGCTGCACCATAATAAGAGTGCTCATATTTCTCTCCTTCCAATAGCTGGAAAGCTGAGGAACAATTACTTTTTCTTTATTCAAGTCCCACACAATTGATGGGTGGCGGATCAATGCAGCTCTGTAACACAGGGCATGTGTGTTCACTTCGAAGCCGTAAGAAAAGGGAAGAAAGAGGAGGAAACCCAGAGAGGGCCTCAGCGGGCAGCAGTGGCCCGGGACGAACTCCCCCAGTTCTGGTTGAGGTTGGGTGTGGACAAAAGAAAACATCCTCCCTTTGGAACTGGAACCTCCTTTGTGTCTAAAATTTCATTTTTTATAAAGGCAAATACATCAAGAGTGAACTCATGCTGGAGAAAGGACATACAATTAGCTGTGGAACTAGAGGCACCTTGCAGGACTTATTAGGCAAAATCCATGAAAGACACTGACTGCTGTGTCAGTGCCACCCACGCTTCTGGGACCGGCCTGGTGAGCGGCCGAATGTTGCTTAGCGAAGCAGCAGGGGCACCTTTCTCTGCCTCAGAGGCTCAGTCTGTGTTAGGAGTTTCAGCAGGAGACCCTGGAATCCTCTAACCTGGTATAACAATCTGTTGAATATCAACTTTCGTGGAGTCTTTTAAAAATACATACAGAGAGGGGTGGGTAGGGAGAGAGAGAGAGGAAAAAAAAAACAAAACAAAACCAGAATGATCAGCAGAGGGAGAGTTAAGCCTTCATTTGGCAATCACTGCTGCCTTCCCACCTTGTCAGACTTCTGGGCTGCTCCTGGGTGATGCTGTGTGAGATCTGATTTGCCTTTTTTATCCTAAACCTACGGGGTTCCTGCCTATCAAATTCAAGGCGAATCTGGGAACATTGCCAGGAGTTTAACCTGCTCCAGGGCTAAAGGCAGTGGAGGGGATTTTGCTGGCCCTCAGCCCACAGAGACCCTGTGGCCACGTGGCTCCTGGGGTTCTCCTGTGCTTTGACCCTAGGATGTGACCAGACACAGTGTCCTGGCAGAAACAGCCGCTTTCCTGGGAACACTTTCCAATTCCAACTACGGCACTTATGGTTAACGCCTGGCCGGCCTGGCTGTTGACTTAGGAAGGAACGGCTCTCCAAGGGCGTCCACGCCCTACCTCGGCCCTGAACTCAGTGTGCAGCACCCACCAGACCCATGCTTGTGCCACTGGCCCAACGTTCACTGCTATGACCAAGAGAGGAGAAACACCCAGTACTGGAACGTGTCATCTTTCTGTAGAGTGCTCAGGCTAGGTGTGGATTGGGATGATATAGATAATAATAAAACGTTTTCATTTGCCAAGAAACACAGTTGGTTATACATTTGGATAAAGCCACACCAAGTTTCACTAAGAATCACCAATTACAGCTTGACTCTTTTTTTCTTGAATAGATTATGGACCAGACTGACAACAGATTATGAGAAAGGAAGAGAAGACTGTGTTCCTCCCATGCCAGCAGGCCTCGTTTGCTGAGTTGATGTACGTTAGGATGTAATCCAAACTGGGGAGTCAGCCATTTGCCTAACCCCTTAGCTGAAACCGTCAGAACCAGCTTGAGATTCTGTGTGCCCACTCATCACCTTTGCACAGTCACCATCAACCGTACAAAACACAAGTTCCACGTCCGATAAGGAAACTCAATTTATGCAAAATGCGTTCAGACCCAGATAGTAGTACCACAAGTATGGAAAAAGTAAAACAGTGGAATTCAAGTGTCAAGCATTGCTGGCAATGGAATGCAGCAGGGACCTTTCGTCCAGGATTTGGGACCACCTAAAACCAGGTGGGACTCGGCCTTTCCCGTCAGGGACTTGCAGGCCCCGGCGACAGCACTGAGAAAAGGCAGCCACACCCTTGTGCAGTGCCCTCCCTGGGCAGCTCCGAGGGCCACCCGCTGCCCAGCAAGATCCCTGTGGCAAAGCTCATGCTGTCCTCAGAAGACCTTTTTAACCTTATTATTATTATATTTTTGCTTTTTAGCTTCAGGAAAGCTGCCAGAAAATCAGGAGTATTTTTGTTTCACATGAACTACAGCACAGTTTAAGGCATCAACGTAGATGAGAATAAGCTCAACCAACTTCCAATGACCCGTTTGGCACCTACAGGGAGCAGGCCCATTTAGCCTGCGGCGACCACTGCAGAGGTGCGGCCCCAAGGCTGACCAATCCCATGGCATCACAGCCGCACGTGGCGTGATTACTGACTTATTACATTTCACCTGCGTGATGCAGCCCAAAGGGATTGAAAACAGCCATTAAACTATCTTTAAAAATGTTTTGTTAATAAAGGTATTAAAACCAGATAGATGCTTGAAATAGGAGAAATCTACCTCCATCTAAAATTATCTGTTTTAGTCCTAATTCCTAGAAAAACTGTTGCTGAGCCACACACAGGAGTCAGCAACCAACCTGCAAACCCTGAGGGCAGACACAGCCCCGGGCAGCTTTAGCACCCCACCTTTGCCTCGCTGTCATGGCTCGCTTCTGCCTCTGGTAATTCCAGCTTATTTTGAAGGCACATCGTAGTTTTAAAAGGAATACTGGACAAAAAGTGATGCACAGATTCAGAATCCAACTCAAATCATAATACATGGCAAGATGACATCCCCAGTTTAGCACGCTACGCAGCCCCTGCTGTACAAGGAACTCACTGCACAAAGCACTCGGATTCCCCACAGGATGCCAAAAAATTCACATTTTCCTGTGGAGTGGTCCAGCCTTCTAAAAGCTCTTCACAGCTTGCCCTTGCTGGACTCTGGGCACCGTGAAACAACTCAATAAACTGAACAAGACTTCGTGTTTAACTTTAAAAAAAAAATGTAACTCACGTGAACATGGAAAAAAACGAACCCACAGGAATGCTTCTTACCTCTGTGGATCCAGCTACCTTTGTCTTCGAGGCAGCTGAGTCACTTTTGCCCTGTGAAAACGGAAACGAAGAAAGAATTCCTTTAAGTCACAGGACATATTTACAGTCAGCAACTTCATGAGCAAGAGCATTACTACCATACTCACCAGGCCTGTGAGCTTTTTGTTTCTAAACATTAATCTCCACATCATTTTAAATAATTGGAGGAGTTTCTTTCACGTTCAGGAAGCCCTTTAGAGAAAGCCTACAGAAGAAAGGAACTTGCGACTTTTGCACAACTTTTAAAATTTAGCCAAAGGAAGTGATGGTGTTCCCATCACCAACCTCAAACCTCAACGGAAAGAAAGTCACTCTTTCAAGCTCCCAATGTACAGCATTTATCTTCCGAGCTGCACATCAGTGATGAGCAGGCAAATGCTTTCAGGTGACTCTAAACTTTAGTCTACGGAAGAGGCTCATTCCAGCTATTTTAATCTGTAGATTTCATCTTCATCCGTAAATACGCTCGCATACAACTAGTTAAAATTCCAATCATCCTTGGTCCCAAGGCTTAAACCCGGAAGCGCATGTGTCTAGGGGGCCTTTCTTCTTCCCAGGCCTCTTTTTAGCCAGCATGGTTTGGAGGTGACCTGAACATTTTACTCAGCAACGTGGTTTTAGGACCGTTGAGAGCAGAGACAACGGCTACCCTTACTCCTGCACGTTCCATACTGCAGGAGCCACATTTCCATTTTCTACTTTCTCCCTTAGCCTTTTCCTGCCACATTTCTCTCCTGTTCTCTGTTCCTTGGCTGATACCCACTGAAATATAAGAGATGAAGGAAGAAGCCAGAATTCAAATAAAATCTCCTTTGCCCCTACTGATGACTGCCGTTCAAGTGTCAGAAGACAGAGGGTGGGAATCACCACCTAAATGAAATGAAAAGGCTAACAGGAGATGCCAGCGGCCTCTGCTGCCTCACATGGCCCTCGGTTGTCATGAGTCAGCACGGCTTTGGGGCTGGCTCCTCCCGAGTGTGCCATGAGGAAAGGGGTCCAGCGGGACCGCTGTGAGAGAAACCCCTGCACTGCGGGTGCCCATTCTCACCTCAGCCTACACCGCGTCTGTCCTCCAACACAGCCGATGAGCAGCCGGTTTATTGAGCTGAGCCTACACCGCCTCTGGCCTCCAACACAGCTGATGAGCCCCAGGTTTATTGAACTGAACCTACACTGGGTCTGTCCTCCAACACAGCTGATGAGCGGCAGGTTTATTGAGCTGAGCCTACACCGCCTCTGTCCTCCAACACAGCTGATGAGCGGCAGGTTTATTGAGCTGAGCCTACACTGCCTCTGTCCTCCAAAACAGCTGATGAGCGTCCAGTTTATTGAGCTGAGCCTGCACCGCCTCTGTCCTCCAACACAGCTGATGAGCAGCTGGTTTACTGAGCTGAGCCTGCACCGCCTCTGTCCTCCAACACAGCTGATAAGCGGCTGGTTTATTGAGCTGAGCCTACACCGCCTCTGTCCTCCAAAACAGCTGATGAGCGTCCAGTTCATTGAGCTGCGCCTACACCGCCTCTGTCCTCCAAAACAGCTGATGAGCGTCCAGTTTATTGAGCTGAGCCTACACTGCCTCTGTCCTCCAACACAGCTGATAAGCGTCCAGTTTATTGAGCTGAGCCTACACCGCCTCTGTCCTCCAACACAGCTGATGAGTGGCCAGTTTATTGAGCTGCGCCTACACTGGGTCTGTCCTCCAACACAGCTGATGAGCGGCAGGTTTATTGAGCTGAGCCTACACCGCCTCTGTCCTCCAACACAGCTGAT